CGTCATAGTTTTTCTCAGCCTGAGATAAGCGTCGTGAGAAGAAGGCACACGAGTGGACCTTATTGTCACTGGGGGCTCTTTGGGACAGCACAGCCTCTACCCCAGTGTCTGAGGCAGCCACTTCCAGGATGAACCAGCACTTGGGATTGTGGTGACAAAGAAGGGGGGTAGAAGAAAAAAGCCTTTTTAATTTACCAAAGGCAGAGTCTGCTTCGGGGGTCCATTTGAAGGTCCTTGTTGTAGATGTGAGTTGAGATAAAGGTGAAGTGATATGGCTGTAGTCCTTTATGAAGCGTTTGTAAAAGTTGGCAAAGCTAAGGAAACATTGTAGTCGTTTCCTGGTTTCGGAAACAGGCCACTCCACCACTGCCTTTGTTTTTTTCAGGGTCTGTCCTATAACATCCTCCTTCGAAGATAAAGCCCAGGAATGAGACAGATGGTACATGAAACTCACATTTTTCACCTTTCACAAATGGTTTTCATAAAGCCTTTGTAATACAGTCTTGACTGTCATAAAGAACAGCCAAGTTTATCAGTTCGTCAAAGTTTTCAGGTTCATCGTGTTTGGCAATTTGATCTTTAACGTGGTCAAATAAAGAATGCAAAAATCGATCCTTGTAGGGCGATCTCATTCCAACTTGTCTGAGCAGCGAGAATGTGGAACTCGAGGTCGTGTTCAGAGACAGTTCGTTGGCCTTGACGTAATCTCAGAAGCCACTTTACGGCATTAGGTTCCTGTAGTGGCCAGTCAAAAATTCTACAAAAGTATTTCAAGAATAGATCATTAGACACAGAGTCTAGATCGTGGGATTGCAGGAATGAGTTAGTCCAACAGAGTCCATTACCTTTTAGCTGGCTGGTGAAGTAAGTGATTTTTGCAATACTTGAGGTGTAGAGGGGCTCCTTTGAATGCAAGCTTACAATGGAGGAGGGATCCTCCACAATGATCAGGATCTCCCGAGAAAAACGTAGAAGATTTTATGATTACCTGTTGAGTGGTAGTGTTTGACTTGAGAGTAGCACTGAAGAAACTTGGTGTCGGTGGAACGGTGGAAACTGTAGGAGGAGAAAGTGAAAGTCTCTGGCTAATAGCAAAAACCTTACCTCCTAGTTCCTGCATTTTGGACTGGGCTGCTTGTTGCTAGGTTAGGATTCATTGTAGCATCTCTTCTAATTTGTCTATGCATTCCACCTGTGAGGCAAATGGAGTTTGCTCGCCCCTGGTCTTGTCCTGGGTCTTGTTTGGCTGGACTATTTCTGTTATGACTCGAGGAACCCAGATTAGTACGAGACCTGGAAACAAGACAAGACTCGGAGTAGAAAAGGAACAGTGTGTATTATTTACATTGCTCAACATTTACAGATGATCTGCTGGAGCCCTGAGGAAGTAGGAGAGGATCAGGTGGGTCTGGTTGAAGGAGTAGAATGTCTGATATTGATCCGGTTGTTTTTCTCTTACAGGTTTGGATGTGGTGGTGAGACACAGAGCCGAATCACAAAAGCATCATAAAAACAGCAGCTTAACGGAGGATGTGAATTAATTTTGTTAGCAAAGAATAAAGTCCTAACATTTATTAAACATTACTTCTGCAGATTGTGCTTTGACAAACTCACCGATAAAACTAAAACATTTTGTCAACACAAAAGAGGAAAGTGGGGGCAGGTGTCGCTCTCGCTTTGAGTTTACTCTTTGTTGCATGTGTGCTGTGAGTGACGTCCAAAGCGCATGGACATAAAAACAGCAGCGGAGGACGGAGGAGGTGACAGTCGGAGTTTATTTATCGTGTCAGCAGCAGAAGAGAGAGACACGGTTCATGCATGACTCCCAAAACAACAAGGCGGACATATTTGTTCATAACTTTATTAATAGGAACGCACATGACAAAATGAGAATGGTTAAATTATTATTATTATTTTTAAAATACTCCCTGCGGCAAAAAAAGCATGTTTTCTAGGGTCATATTTGCCCCCCCAGGGGGAGGTGCATCACTATTTGAGAAGGACCGACTTAGATTGAGGTAGTTTAATGTCCTTGATAACTCCAATAACGCAATGGTCGCTCATATCGTCAGCAAAAACTCCCAAACCAGGGAATTTATGGGACACATTTGTTAAAAAGGGGTCTAATATGGAAGATTTTTTTCAGGACAATGCTTGTTATGTCTGGTGGGGGTGTCAATGATTTGAGTCAGATTAAGGGGCCGTTTACACGGCGCATATTTTGAGAGCATCCGCTCCTTTCTCTCTGCAGTTCTGCTGATCATTTACACGACACCAGTGCCCCCTCTTTGAATCCAGATGTTTCTGAACCCACCTTCCAGAGTGGAGGTTTTTCTCTGACCCCCTGCTGATAATGTAACATCTCCCGCTGAGGCTTTGTGCTAAATCACATGCGCACACGCATGCACGGACAAACGCTATATTTCTATCAACATGGCAGCGACACACTGCTTTTTGAACCTCGACTGATGGAATATATTTTAATCTTGTAGTTAATCTACATCAGATTCCAGGTGTTGTGACCAACATCTGTGTTGGAAGAGACAATCAGATCCAGTTCTAATGTCGCGGTTTATAGAACGAGGCACGTGCACACGTCGCGCTGCACTATAACATACTAAATATGATAAATAATAAGTTTAATAATAATAAACAGTATTTATGTTAGTTTGAGAGATAATGAAGCTCTCTGGACATTACGTAATTCAAATTATGTGATTAAAATGATGCTAAACGTGTTGCGTGTTACTAAAGTTGAAAATGAAGACATCAGGTTTAATTTTAATTTTATTTATTTATTCAACACCACAAACTGTATGTCACACAAACACTGATAATTAAACTGAACACACTATTAAAAACAAGTTAACAGTAAACTGCATTAACGAACTGGACTCTTGTTTTCATCCTGGGTGTCCCACGTTGTTCATCTGGCTCGTTCAGGCCGTCACTCCTTTGATTAATGCAGATTAAAACATTGAATGGATTGAATAAAAGAACTGAGGGGAATTTTAAACAAATAGTTCATCCAACATCTCTCTCTTCGACGTCCTCCTGCACTGCATCCGGGCCGAGCCTCGTTCAGAACCGGTCTGCCTGGTGGAAGGACAGCGCCATCTAATGACCCGGCATGGTAACTACAGCGGATTCAGGAGGGCGGGGGGGGGGGGGGGGGGGGGGGGGGGGAAGGGATCCTCCAGATCCATGTAAACCCAAAATCTGACTGTGTCAACGTGGATCTTTTCCTCTAATTAACATACAAAAAAACCTACGTTTCCCCCCATGGTGTCCGTGTACACAGGGCCTAAGTGACAAGCAACATTTCTTAAATTTATCGTAGAGCGGGCTCTGTGTTCTCAAATCCATGTTGAAGTCTCTGGTGACAAGGACTTAACTGAAATGTAAATTAGCTAGGAAGTCTGACAGAGAGGACAGAACCTTAGGGGTTGTTGAGGGGGAGTGATAACAGCCCACGACAGACAGGATCTCCATGCAAACTAATGTTTACTGCCAACAATTCTAACAGGCTTGGAATTGTTTTAGCAGATACCAGTTGAAAACCCAGGCTTGTTCTGATGTAAATTGTGACCCCACCTCCCTTTTTCAGATGGTCAGAACTGTAGATGTTAAATCCATCAATTGCCAGTTCCTTATTTAAGTTATATTTGTTCAGCCAAGTTTCAGAAATGAAAATTACATCAGCACCAGAAGAACAACCCAAATCCTCAATTTTTTGAGGGCGACTGCGTGCATTAACGTGCAAAAAAATGAAGTCCTGACATGTTTTAAAATCATTTGGTGTGCTGTAATGTGTGGGAGGGCCAGGGTTGGGCTGGACCCTGGACAGCAATAACATTATTATTAGAAATTTTCTTGTGTTTTTTGTGACACGTGTTATTACAGGAGATAATATTGTGAAACTTAGACCCCATAATCGAATCATGGTGAGAAGAATTTATAAAGACGTGATTACTCAGAACCCAAATACAGTGACGTTTGCAGGGAAGGACAGATCCAGATGCGTTAACAAGGTTCAGCGACTCCATATAGTAAGAGATCTGAAAATGATGAGGATGGAGCATAAAAGTATCCAACCAGACGGCATCATGGTTCAAATAGACCAACAAGCCCGGCATGGTGGACCAACTGCAGATTCAGTTGGCCTGAGGGGAGCTCCAGCACCCCGGTGTAGACAAATCACTCCTGCTGTTCTAATGTTGAACAGATGCTGGGTCCACAACCAACAGGCAGAAACAGGTAATCCACATCAAAGAAGAGCGTGAGCTGCCAGAAAGTCCTCTTGTTCTGGAAGGCATGATCTTGGCTTGGTTCAGATCAACAGAGATCTGATCCAGATGAAAAGAAAAAAAAACATTGGGTAAAGCCCTCTGCAGGTTTAGGATCTGACCAAACCGAGCTCAGTGAAGTGAATGGACGATACCAACAGCGTGATCCGGAACAGACCCTTCAGCTGATCATCTTCAAAGCAGTGGTCCCGTATGGATCCAAAATCCAGGTGAGTGCAGATGGAAGATCAGCAGAACTCCAATGCAGACGCTGGCCTTCCTTCAAGCAGCTCCTCCTCAGCACTTCCCGGCACGAGAGGCTTCCTCCAGGTGAGCAGTGGTCAGACTGACCATAGAGGCTGGAGTCGTCCTTGTCTTGGTTCTGGTCCGGTTCCATCATCTAGCTCCTCTGCAGATGACAGCAAACCCCACAGAGAGGGCCATTCCTTTGATGAGAAGTATCAGGTAGTAGAAATATCATTGGGTTTGACAGAAGCTTAAGTTTAGTGTGGTAGTAGCTGAGAGTCATCCCAGCACAGAACGAGTTATTTGAACAAGTCATTAAAATGTGTCCTGAGAGGCGGCAGGCGACATGCATTCCTTTGATGTCAAACATGAGCTGAACAACCTATGTGACTGGAAACTATCTGAACTCTGAGGCAGGACAGCAGAACATCTGGAGTCCACCTGCAGCCAAAGCCAGGACGAGGAACCATGCCGAAGAAAGGGAGAGGAGGAGGCACGATGAGTGAAGAGAAGCGACTTCTGCAGAAACAGCACTGCGAGTTGGCCGATGAGGAGATGGCCAAGAAGAAGAAAGAGACACTCATGCTGTATCTGCAGGTAACATCTGCCAATGACCCATCCAGGTTGTTGGAGGGGTGGGGCACAACTCCTAAAGTGGTCAGTCTGCAGGAGGTGTTGGGCTCGGGTCCTGTCTCCTGTTGTTCTATAATTCGATGCTAAAAAAAAGAAAATCTTTATAATGAACCAGACTTCATGTTTTTACACAGTGTGATCATTAGGCATGCACCTCCCCAGACTCTCCTCAACCTGCTCCTTGATTCTTTAGTTGTGCACCTCCCCAGACTCTCCTCCACCTGCTCACTTCACTCATTAGTTGTGCACCTCCCCAGACCCTCTTCCACCTGCTCCCTTAACTCTTTAGTTGTGCACTTCCCCACTCTCCTCAACCTGTGCCATCAATCATTAGGCATGCACCTCCCCAGACTCTCCTCCACCTGCTCCCTTTACTCATTAGTATTGCACCTCCCAGACTGTCTTCAACATGCTCTTTCCCTCATTGGTTGTGCACCTCCCCAGACTCTCCTCCACCTGCTCCCTTCACTCATTAGTTGTGCACCTTCCCACACTGTCCTCCAACTGCTCACTTCACTCATTTGTTGTGCACCTCCCCAGACTCTCCTTTACCTGCTCTCTTCACTCATTAGTTGTGCACCTCCCCAGGCTCTCCTCCACCTGCTCCCTTCACTCA